GGGGGGGGGGAGGGGGGCATCTGGGCACAACATCTCCCACCTAACACCGAGGGAAGGGGGGCACAGTACAAAGAACTGAGGCTGTAACAAACACAGACACACACACACAGGGTTCGGGGGTTCACTGCTGCATTTCAGAATATTGTCCTTTAAGAAAGACACAGACAAGGGAAAGATAAACCTATTCAGAGGGAAAAAGATAATGCAGCATCCCTTTGAGAGGGAGGGACAAGCAAACACAGGAGATAAATTGCAATTGCATTTCAGCCCATTTTTAATCTCCAGAAATAAACAGCTTACCTTGTCAAACAGAAATCTCAGAGACTGTCTCCTGATCTCCTTTAGGTGGAAGGCTGTATTGTTCCGCAGTCGTGGGACTGTTAAACGTTCATTCTCTCTCTCTGACTGGGAGCTGACGGCTCACAGCCCCACCTTTCCTGGTGAAGTTACTGCAGACTGTCAATCATATGCTGGAAGGACAGAATATGGGGAGCAGATTCAGACACCAGGGAACCTGACTCCACTACTGCTCACTATCAATGGGGGAAGGAGGATTCAAATCTATCCTCCTCCCGACACCTTTTATAGCAACAAGGGCAGGCCAGTCGGCCCCTCATCGCTGTTCTGATTTTAACCTCAACTCTACCCTCCCTTATAATCTTTCACCCCCATGGCAATCAAGAACTGACCTACCTCTGCCTCAGAAATGTCTAAAGATTCTGCACCACTGCCGTCCGCACACCACACCCTAACCCTTTCCCCCCCTCTCTGCCTGTGTGGGTGGGACAATTCACCTGTGTCATTCGGCTAAGTGAGGTATCATAGCTGAGCCCAATCCAGTCTTCACCCAGGAGTGGGGAAGGGGTTGAATGAGGCAGTGGGGGTGGGGGGGGCGGTGGGGGAGAGTGGCTAGAATTACTGAATATGAACTTCAAGCGAGAACGCTTTTCAAATTCAGGCCCTCTGTCAATTCAAGCGTTTTGGGGCAATTGTAAAAATCCCTTTCCACAACATCTATCACATAATTCTCTGGGTAAACAAGCTACACATTTGAAGTGTATCTGGATTTTTACAATCACAAAACAAGCTCACAATCCCAGCACTCAGCCCAGTGTAAAGTGGGGACTAAAGGGGACACAGAGCCAATGCAGGTTGAACCTTGCACTCACTATGATGACTGCCCCATGTGGTACATTTGTTGACACCTTCCGGGCAACGTGCCAGTGAGACGTCCCATGTGAGCCAGACAACGCAAGGAGGCCGTTTGGCCCATTAGCAGGGCACAAGCATGTGTTCTTCCTGCCATCCTCGTTTGCAGGGCCAGGCCATAGATTTCAACTCAATTCAGCATGAAGCCACACAAACACAAGGAGGCCATTTGGCCCGTCAGCAGAGTGCTAGCACCTGTCTCTCCCACCATTCTCATTTCTGGGGATTGAGTTGATTTGATTTATTTGATTGAAGCTTTGTTGTCACATGTACAAGCGTACAGTGAAAAGTGTACAATGTCACCACATGTGGTGCCATCTTAAGTACAAAGGTACAGAACCTTAGGTACAAGTAGTAACATTCAGAAACAACGTCAAATGCAAAGCATTACAGTAGTCCTTCCTAGTATTAAGTGGAAAAATATGGAATAAAGGTGAAAATTCAACAGTCTTTCTTAAGTGCACTCCCTGCAAGGGCTTGGTCTCCGCTGCTTTGGCCTGTTTTCCAGGAAACCTCCAGCTTCCAGCTCATTACACTGCTAATGCCAGGGGATCAATCCTTTGGGCTCACTCTAACCATGTTGGGCTCAGGCCCCTGCACCGGACCTCCAGCCGACATTGCCCCAGGATCAATGGCCACTGCCATGCTCCCTGTGATACCATCGCCGCTCCTGCTGCTTCTCTGTCTCTTTCCAGAACTCCAAAGATGACAGGGAGAGAGAAGAAGGGTGAGCCATAGAATTGCCATTGGATATTGTCCACGTTTACACAATGGCGGTTTCATGGTCCCCCCCTCTCCAGAACAGCTTGACCACAACCATTAGGGTCTATGGGAACAATTTACAGGCTGACCGTGAACCTGATTGGATAGGTCAGCAAGTCCTGGTGGGGGACTCAAACCTGCAGCTTCTGGTCCAGAGATAGGGACATTACCCACTGCACAAATGAGCTCTCCCTGTGCAGGTGTATTCCAAAACTAACGCCCTGTCTACATTCAGGATCATGTCCATTTGTCAATGTAGAATTATTTAAATAACTAATCTGGGAATCACATGCCCCCTACTGGCAAAAGCAAAAGCTCAGTTGATCATGTTCCAGCAGCAAAAACAACAATTCGCATTTATATGGCGCCTTCTAATTAGGAACAGTCCCAGTGTTTCATTCGTGTGTTACAAGACAAAATTCGACACCAACTGAGACACATAAGATTTTGAGGAGTCTTGACAGAGAGGGAGCTCAGAAGATGTTTCCAGTTGCCAGGAGAAATCTAAAACCTGTGTCACAGCCTCACAACTAGGTTTCTCCATTTATGATGGAGATGAGGAGGAATATGAGGAGGCAATGGCCTGGTGGTATTATCACTGGACTGTCAGTCCAGAGACCCAGATAATGTTCTGGGAACCTAGGTTCAAATCCCGCCATGGCAGATGGTGGAATTTGAATTCAATAAAAATATCTGGAATTAAGAATCTAATGATGACCACAAATCCATTGTCAATTGTCGGAAAAACCCATCTGGTTTGCTAATGTCCTTTAGGGAAGGAAGCTGTCATCCTTACCTGGTCTGGCCTACATGTGACTGTAGACCCACAGCAATGTGGTTGACTCATAACTGCCCTCTGGGCAATTAGGGATGGGCAATAAATGCTGCCTGGCCAGCAACGCCCTCATCCCGTGAATGAATAAAGAAGAAAAATAAAATTGTTCTTCGAGGCAGTCATTGGTCTCTGGAATTTGCTTCCCTTGAGAGCAGTGGAGGCTAGGTCAGTGAAAATATTTGAAGCTGTGTAAGGAAGATTTTAAATTGACGAGGGACTCCAGAGTTAAAGACAGACAGGCAGAAAAGTGGACTTAAGGTCATGATCAGACCAGCCATGAGCTTTTTGAATGGCCTACCCTTTACTCATGACCTTATAAAGAGATATCAGTGAAATATCTCGAGGAACGCCAGTATCCCATCACAAAGTCACCCTTTATTTACATGCGCGTAGTACATGACACTGCCCCAGCTAGCACTGAGCCAGCTCTCAAGTGAGCTGAATCCCTGGCACTCCTGTTTCAATCTGTCAGCCAGGGCTCCCTGATTGGCCCAGGTTAATAGCCACAATCGGGGAGCTCATATTCTCTAAGGTCTTCCGGCTGACCTTGTTACAATCACTACAATGAGGATCACTGACTGAAAGCTGTACCATACTAACCTTCTGTCAATTCATGCACGGCTGTATCCAGATGTGTTCTGTCTCTCCGAGCTCTGCAACCTCTCACCATTTAGACAAAATTCTTCTTTTTTACTCTTCTCGCCAAACTGGACAATTTCACAGTTTCCCACATTATACACATGACAGCACGGGCAGAGCCTGTTACAGCAGGTGCTGAGGAGGACAGTGAGCTGAGAAGGTGCTCACTTCAGTGACCTCTGTTTCCACTGCACCTCATTCTCAGCCAGCTGAGCCCTCCTCTTCCAATGTCTGAAATAACTCCACGGAGGTCTGTACCCCATCAACAAGTCAACCATTAGATTTATACAGTCGTACAGCATGGAAACAGACCCTTTGGTCCAGTTCATCCATGCCGACCAGATATCCTAAATTAATCTAGTCCCATTTGCCAGCATTTAGCCCATATCCCTCTAAACCCTTCCTATTCATGTACCCATCCAGATGCCTTTTAAATGTTGTAATTGTACCAGCCTCCACCACTTCCCCTGGCAGCTCGTTCCATACACGCACCACCCTCTGCATTAAAACATTGCCCCTTGGATCCCTCTTACATCTTTCCCCTCTCACCTTAAACCCACACCCTCTAGTTTTGGACCCCCCTACCTTGATGACCTCGATGACCTTGATGTTCATGCTATCCATGCCCCATATGATTTTATAAACCTCTATAAGATCACCCCACAGCCTCTGACATTCCATGGAAAATAGCCCCAGCCTATTCAGCCTCTCCCTATAGCTCAAACCCTCCAACCCTGGCAACATTCTTGTAAATCTTTTCTGCATCCTTTCAAGTTTCACGCCATCTTTTCTATAGCAGGGAGACCAGAATTGAACGCAGTATTTTTACACATGAATAGTCCTTGAATTTAGTTCTGCCTCTTCAGAGTCAGCTGTCAGAGTTTCAGCATCTCTGACACTCCCATTTTTAATCTGTCAGCCAGGGTTCCCTGATTGAACCAGATTAACAGCCCCAATTAGGGAACTCCTATTCTATGAAATCCAGCTGGCTGACCTTGTTACAATCACTACGAGTTCAAACGTTAAAATTTATTTCTATGACTTAAAACTTTACAAAACATTCAATATTCATGTAGTGATAGCTTGGAGCAGTTAATAAAACACACAGTGTCCTCATTTTATTAACGGCGGCAAAGAGTACTAGAGCAGGGAAGTGATGTTAAACTTGCACAAGACACTTAGCTGGAGTTGTGGGCATCACATTACAGGAAAGATGGGAATGCATTGACAAGCTTGCAGAAGCAGCTTACAAGAACGGTTCCAGGAATGAGAAACTTTAGTTACAGGGGTTCGATTTATGGAGATGGGGCTGTTTTCCCTGGACAGAAGGCAGCTGATGGGAGATTTAATAAAGGTTTTCAAAATCATGAGCAGGCTGGATAGAGTAGATAGGGAGAAGATGTTCCTGCTCATGAAAGAAACAAGAATGAGAGGGCACGTAGTTAAAGTAAGCTGCAAATGAAACAAAGGTTGAAAAACCTGTTTCACACAGCTAGTAGCTGGGGTCTGGAATGCATTGCTTGGAAATGTAGTCATGGTGTAGAGGTGCCGGTGTTAAACTGGGGTGGACAAGGTCAGAAATCACACAACATCAGGTTATAGTCCAACAGGTTTCATAGATCATAGAATCCCTACAGTGTGGAAACAGACCCTTCAGCCCAACAAGTCCACACTGACCCTCAGAGCATCCCACCCAGACCCATCCCCCTATAACCCACGTAATCTACACCTCCCTGAACACTATGGGCAATTTATTTGAAAACACAAGCTTTCGGAGTGTAGCCCCTTCGTCAGGTGAAGTGAGAAAGAAGCACACAGAACACATACTGTATAAGTAAAAGATCAAACGATCACACAACTGATGAGCTTGTATTAAACAAAGAACAAAAACAGAACTTGCCGGAGATAGTAGGAACTGCAGATGCTGGAGAATCTGAGATAACAAGGTGTAGAGCTGGATGAGCACAGCAGGCCAAGCAGCATCAGAGGAGCAGGAAAGCTGACGTTTTGGGTCTAGACTCTTCTTCAGAAAAATGTCAGCTTTCCTGCTCCTCTGATGCTGCTTGGCCTGCTGTGTTCATTCAGCTCTGCACCTTTTTGTCCCAGAAGTTGCTGGAAAAGCTCAGCAGGTCTGGCAGCATCTGTGAAGAAAAAATCAGAGTTAACGTTTTGGGTCTGGTGACCCTTCCTTCTGTTTTTGTTCCTGATTTACAGCATCTGCAGTTCTTTTGGTTTTTATGTATTAAACAGACCTCAGATTAAATCTTTAATCAGTTAGAAGGTTTTAACTGATTAATTATGTACATTAAATGTGGTGGAGGCAGGTTCAATTGAGGTATACAAGAGGAGCATTGGATGATTATTTGGATCGAGATGGTGTGCAGGGAGATGGGACAAGGTAGAAGATTAATACTAGACTATAATGCTCATTTAAAGAGCAACAATGGACTGAATACTCTCCCGGATTGTAACAATTCTGTGATCTTCTCTCTCTCTCTCTCTCTAGAATTTTCTCTGAAAGTCCGGTGTCCATCACTTGAATCACTCACAGGATGAAGCAATCAAGCACTGCACAAGGATCTGTGATCAGACTAACTTAGCCAAACAGTACAGTCCTGGTGTACACTCATTCTGTCAGCAATACACTCGACTCTAAGTGAATGATGTCTGTGCTGACTCGTCTACCTTCATCAAATGGATGACAGCTCTATACCCAAAAGTATTCGGTCTGGCTGAAGTGTCACAGCATCCTGAGCTTATACATCTCTGTGCAAGCAAGAACAAATCAACATACAAACTGAGTGCAGAAATAGGCCATTCAGCCCCTTGAGCCTGCTCTGCCATTCAATGAGATTGTGGCTGACTTGATTGTAACTTCAAATCCACACCCACTCCTGATAACCTTTTAACCCCCCCCCCGCCTTTGCTTAACATGAATCTATCCACCTCTGCTTTAAAAAGATTCACAGACTCTGCTTCCAGCAACTTTTCAGGAAGAGCTTTCCAAAACCTCATTCCTCTCTAAAAGAAAAAGGAAATGTCCACATCTCTATTTTAAATGGTTTTTTCAAACAGCCACCGGTCTTTTCAGTTTCTCCCCTAAGAGGAAACATCCTCACCACATCCACCTGGTCAAGGACCCCCCACCTCAGGACTTTTATATCTGTCAATTAAGTCACTTCTTATCCTTCTAACTCCAGCAGAAAGCTTGTCCAACCTTCCCTCAAGAAACAACCTTTCCCTTCCCAATTATTAGCCTAGTAAAGCCTTCTGTGAACTGCCTGCAATGCTTTTACATTATTCCATAAATACAGAGAATAGTACTGTACCCCGTACTCCAGATATGGTCTCACCTGTGCCCTATATAACTCAGCCACAACCATCCTACATTTGTATTCAGTTCCCCCCATTCTATTGGCTTTCCTAATTACTTGCTGTAGCTGCATACTAACCTTCTGCGATTCATGTATGAGGGTACCCAGATCTGTTCCGTACCTCCGAGCTCTACAATCTCTCAGCATTTAGGTAATAATGCTTCTGTTTAAATCATCTTGCCAAAATGGACAATTTCACATTTCACTCCATTTACCAGATCTTTGCCCACTTGTTGAACCTATCTATATCTCTCCACAGCATCCTCATAGAATCCCTACAGTGCAGAAAGATGCCATTCAGCCACTGAGTCATCACTGGCCCTCTGAAGAGCATCCCATTCCCCCATCCTATCCCTGCATTTAGTTCAGCCAATCCATCTACCCTGCACATCTTTGGACTGTGGGAGGAGACCGGAGCACCCAGAGGAAACCCACGCAGACACGGGGAGAATGTGCAAACTCCACACAGACAGTCGCCCGAGGGTGGAATCAAACCCAGGTCCCTGGTGCTGTAAGGCAATAGTGCTAACCACTGAGCCACCCTGCCACCCATGTTACTCATGTTCTCTTCACAACATACTTTCCCACCTATCTTTGTATCATCAGCAAATTGGCAAACACACCATCTGTCCCTTCACCCAATTTGTAAACAGTTGAGGTACCAGCACCAATCTCTTCAACACACTGCTTGTTACATCTTGTCCAACCGATAAAAGTCCCATTTATACACACTCTCTGTTTTCTGCTAGCCAGCCAGCCTTCTATCCAAATAAAAAGCGAAAGAACTGAAGATGGTGTAAATGAGAAACAACACAGGGGCGGCACAGTGGCTCAGTGATTAGCACTGCTGCCTCACAGTGCCAGGGACCTGCGTTCAATTCTACCCTCGGGGACTGTGTGGAGTTTGCACATTCTCCCCGTGTCTGTGTGGGTTTCCTCCAGGTGCTCCGGTTTCCTCCCACAGTCCAAAGGTGTGTAGGTTAGGGTGGATTGGCCATGCTAAATTGCCCCATAGTGTCCAGGGATGAGGAGGTTAGGTGGGTTAGCCATGGGAAATGAAGGGTTATAGAGATAGGGCAGGATGCTTTTTCGACGGTCAGTTTCGATTCGTTGAGCTGAATGGTCTGCTTCCACACTGTAAGGAATCTATGATTCAAAAACAGAAGTTGCTGGAAAAGCTCACCAGGTGTGGACAGAAATCAGAATTAATGTTTCAGGTCCGGTGACCCTTTCTCAAAACTCAGTCTTTCATCCATGTAACTATACAACCCACTACATCAGGAGCTTTCTTTTGTGCAATGATTTTTCACGTGACACCTTATCGAATGCTTTCGAGAAATCTAAGTACAGTATATCCACCTTTTATCCACTGCATGTATCACCTCCTCAAAGAACTCTAATAGATTGGTCAAATATAACTTCCCTTCGACTAAATGAAATGAAGATGGTGGACATTGACACTGGGAGATCAGATGCTGGTGGGAAGGGAGCTTGCAGGTGGTGTTCCCATATATCTGCTGCCCTTGTCCTTCTAGATGGAAGTGGTTGTGGGTTTGAAAGGCGCTGTCTGAGGATCTTTGGTGAATTTCCGACATGCATTTGTAGATAGCACTCACTGCTGCTACTGAGCGTTGGTGGAGGAGTGAATGGATTCTTGTGGATCCAAGCAGGTGGCTTTGTCCTAGACGGTGTCAAGCTTCTTGAGTGTTGATGGAGCTGCACCCATCCAGGCAAGTGGGGAGTATTCCATCACACTCTTAACTGTGCCTTGTAGGTGGTGGACAGGCTTTGGGGAGTCAGGAGGTGAGTTACTCGCTGCAGGGTTCCTAGCCTCTGACTTGCTCTTGTAGCTACTGTATTTATAGGGCAAATACAGTTCAGTTTTTTTAGTCAATGGTAACACCATTGAATGTCAAGGGGTGGTGGTTAGATTGCATCTTATTAGAGATGGTCATTGCCTGGCATATGTGTGGCACAAAGATTGTTGTCATTTGTCAGCCCAACCCTGGATATTGTCCAGATCTCATTGCATGTGAACGTGGGCTGCTTCAGTGTCTGAGGAGTCATGAATGGTGCTGAATATTGTGCAATCATCGGCGAACATCCCCACTTCTGACCTAATGATGGAGGGAAGGTCATTGATGAAACAGCTGAAGATGGTTGGGCCTAGCACACTGCCCCGAGGAACTCCTGCAGAAATGTCCTGGAGCTGAAATGAGTGACCTTCAACAACCACAACCATCTTTCTATGTGTCAGGTGTGACTCCAACGAGCAGAGAGTTTGCACCCCGATATCCACCGATTCCAGTTCTTCCAGGGCCCCTTAGTGCCACACTTGGTCGAATGTGGTCTTGTTGTCAAGGGCTGTCACTCTCACCTCACCTCTGGAATTCAGCTCTTTTGTCCATGTTTGAACCAAGGCTGTAATGAGGTCAGGAGCTGAGTGGCCCTGGCGGAACCCAAACTGGGCATCACTGAGCAGGTTATTGCTGAGCAGGTGCTGCTTGTACTGTTGATAACATTTTCCATCACTTTACTGATGATCGAGAGGAGACTGATGGGGCAGTAATTGGCCAGGTTGGATTTGTCCTGCTTTTTTGTGTACAGGACATACTTGGGCTATCTTCCACATTGCTGGGTAGATACCAGTGTTGTAACTGTACAGGAACAGCTTGGCTCGGGGAGCGGCCAGTTCTGGAGCAGAAGTCTTCGGTACTATTGCCGGAATGTTGTCAGGGCCCATAGCCTTTGCAGTGTCCAGTGCCTCCAAACATTCCTTCATATCACGTGGAGTGAATCAAATTGGCTGAAGACTGGTATCTGTAATGGTGGGGATCACTGGAGGAGGCCTAGATGGATCATCCACTTGGCACTTCTAGCTGAAGATTGCTGCGAATGCTTCAGCCTTATCTTTTGCACTGATGTACTGGGTCCTTCCATCATTGAGGATGGGGATATTTGTGGAACCTCCTCCTGCAGTGAGTTGTTTAATCGTCCACCACCATTCACACTGGATGTGGCAGGACTGCAGAGCTTAGATCTGATCTAGTAGGAACTGCAGATGCTGGAGAATCTGAGATACCAAGGTGTAGAGCTGGATGAACGCAACAGGCCAAGCAGCATCAGAGGAGCAGGAAGGCTGACGTTTCGGGCCTAGACCCTTGGTCAAGACCCTAGACCCATCCAGCTCTACACCTTGTTCTCTTAGATCTGATCTGTTGGTTGTGGGATCACACAGCTCAATCACTTTGGATTTTGGATGTTCAACCCAAAGTAAAACATCACTTTGAAAAACAAAGACTGGTTTCCGATTCTATTGCATGCGCTTAAAGTTCTCTGTTGTAAAACCTGTACGATCCTGTTTACATGTCAAGTACTGAGCTCCCGCCTTTTCTGGTGTCTAACCATCTTTCAGGTGGTCCGGGGCAGGGCCGTCGCAAACTGCCGTAAAATTCAACGGCAAAGATCATGGCGTGACCTCCTGCCGTAAAATGGAATGCGCGCGCCCGACCGTCTGCCGTAAAGTGAATTTGAGCGTGTGGAAGCAACGGAATGGAAACGTGAAAAGGTTCGAGGGATGTGGTGGGGAGGAGGGACGGCGGAAAATGCGGCTCGGCCCGAAACCTGGATGTTCGAGGCTGTTGCTGCGACCGTGACCGGATTCTGGGGCCTGGGTGTTGGGTCCGAGGCCCGGGGCCTGTGATTGCAGTCATTCCCTCCAGCTCAAAGGTCCCAATATTGAGGCCCTGAGCCTTACCCCCCCCCCCGCCTCCTCGCGGTTGACCTTCGCTTTTGGTAACCAAAGCAGTCAGTAAGTTTGGAGCTGACTGCCAGCGCGTTGCCCAAACCACCCACTTCCAACCCGCATTTTAATGAATAGATCTCAAACTATAAAAGCTGCATTTCTGTAGTGCCCTTCAAGACCTCAGGACGTACCAAAATGCTTCACATACAATAAGATGCTTTCCTTCTCCTCTCCTCCCCCCACCGTCTCAGCTTCAGTTCATTTGCTGCAGAAACCCTCATTCCTACCTGTACTCCACTATTCCAGAGCACTCCCAGTCTGTCACCCACACTGTACCCTTGGTTTGCTTGAGTTCATCCAAAACCGCTGTTCGTCTCAACTTGCACGGAGTCCTAAAAGAACTCTTAGATGCTGTAAATCAGAAACAGAAACAGAAATTATTGGGGAAAAAAGTCAGCAGGTCTGGCAGCTTCTGTGGAGAGAAATCAGAGTTAACATTTTGGGTCGAGTGTTGTGAGGAAGGGTCACGTGACCCGAAACGTTAACTCTGATTTCTCTCCATAGAAGCTGCCAGACCTGCTGAGTTTTTTCCAACAATTTCTGTTTTTGTTTCTGATTTACAGCATCTACAGTTCTTTTGGGACTCGGTGCAAGTTGAGACGAACAGCGGTTTTAGATGAACTTAAGCAAACTGAGAGTAGAATGTGGATGACAGACTGGGAGTGCTCTGGAGTAGTGGAGACCCTGGGAGTCATCTGAATGTCAGCAAGCATCAGAGTGATAGGAGTACAGAACTACATGCAAAAACAGAAATTGCTGTAAAAGCTCAGCAAGTCTGGCAATATCTGTGGAGAGAAATCAGAGTTAACGTTTCGGGTCACGTGACCCTTCCTCACAACACTCGACCCAAAATGTTAACTCTGATTTCTCTCCACAGAAGCTGCCAGACCTGCTGAGCTTTTACAGCAATTTCTTTTTTTGCACCTAGTCCTGTACCCCTGTCACTCTGGTGCTTGCTGACATTCAGATGACTCCCAGGCAAAGGAATGACATAAATTAGGGTGAGATTTTTAAAATATTAAATCCCTCTGTGGCTTTGCCCTGCTCTCTATCTAGGTAATCCTCTCTACTCTAGCCCCACAAACCTGTGAGATACTTGTGCTTCTCCAATTCTGGTCCCTTGAGCATCCCTGACTTTAATCACTTCACCGTTGATGGCTGAGTCTTCAGGAGACTGGGCCTCAAACTCTATAATTCCTGCCCAAAACTCTTCTGCCTCCCTCTATTCCTTTAAGACACTCCTGAAAGATCTTGGTCATTTGTTCTACTATCTCCCCATGTGGCTTACTATCAAATTTTGTTTGGTAACTGCTCCTGAGAAGTGCCTTGGGATTTTTTGCTACAACAAAGGTGCTATATAAATGCAGGTCCTTTGCATAATTCAGCACCCTCATTTGCATTTGCCAGTGGTGCAGATAGATCTACAGCATAGCATGACTTAAGTAGACTGTTGGTTAATCGCACCATGACTTAATGTTGTATATCAATAAGACTTTTTGTCAATTCAAATAAAAAGCAGTCCTTTTTGTTATAGGAACTAACTTCCTGAGTGTCCTCACTTTTCCCAATTATGGTGAACAGTGTTTAAGTGATTTCTTCTCCTTTCTTCTCAGTGTGTTGATCCTGTCTACTCGCAGCATGTTTGTCCTGGTGGAGATAGTCGATACTGTGCGGATCCCACCCTGGCTTTTCGAAAGGAGGCTAAATGATGCCATAGCTGAAGAGCTGAACAAAAAGCTGGCAAATAAGGTGGAGAACCTCTTGTTAAAGCTGCGACCAGGCTGATTTGTTTCCTGTCAGTTCTTTTCATTTTTCATGGGATGTGGATGTTGCTGGGCATTACCATCCCTAGTTGGCCTGGAAAAGAGTGGCTTTCTTGAACTGCTGCTGTCCTTTTGGTGCAGGGTGTTTGCTGTTAGGGAGTGAATTCCAGGGTCTTGACCCACTGAAGGAACAGTGACATATTTCCAAGTCAGGGTGATGAGTGCCTTGGAGGGGAACTTACAGGTGGTGGTGTTCCCATGTATCTGCTGCCCTTGTCCTTCTAGATGGAAGTGGTCGTGGGTTTGGAAGGTGCTGTCAAAGGAGCCTGGGTGAGCCTCTGATTCCATTTGGGACTTGGAAAAATGACTTTGATGAGGTAGCAGAGAAGGTTGATTCATTTAGTGTAATGATTGTACATATGGACTGTTGGAAGGCATTTGCCTGAGTGCCATATAGGAGGTTTATTAAAAATATGAAAGCCCCTTGAATTCGGGAGAAGTGGCAGTGGAGCGTTCAGTTTATGGCAGCACAGAAGTAAATGTTTAGGCTCATCAAGGTGGATAGAAAATTACCATAGTGATGGGAAGCAGTGACTGATTACAAAGAGATGGATGCTTCTTAGATTGGGAGGTGGCTTGTAACAGTGTCCCCCATGGTGACCTTTGGGTCCTTTACCCTGAAGTTGTTATTGATGACCTACTGTTCGGTGCAGAAAGTGGCATTATGAAGTTGACAGATGATCTGAATGTAAGATAGGTCTGAGCTTCAGAATGATAATGATCAGGTTCTGAAGCATGAAGTCCAGTGCAGATAAATGTGACATGATGTCCTTTGGGAGGATTAATATGGAAAGAAACAGCAATAAACAATACAATAACAGCAAAAATTAGTAAAACAAGAAATTCATATTAAAACAGAAATCGGTGAAGAAACTCAGCATCTGTGAAGAGAGAGCAGAGTTAACATTCTAGGTCCAGTGACCCTTCTTCAGAAGCCTTCAGGCTTCTCCAGCAATTTCCTGTTTTTGTTTGTTTCAGGGTTCCAGTATCTACAGTTCTTTGTTTTATTTTGAATTTCATGCTGTCCATATACACATCCTTAAAGATGAAACAAAAACAGAAATTTGCTGGAAAGTCTCAGCAGGTCTGACAGCATCTGTGGAGAGAAATCAGAGTTAACGTTTCAGGTCCAGTGACCCTTGCTCAGAACTGATGGTATCGCGGAAAAAGTTGATTATTGTGCAGAAGATGGGGTAAAGGGAGGTGATGAGGAGTACATATTAGATGGAGATAGAGTCCAAAGAGAGTGAAGAACAGTTAGACAAAGGAGTGGATAACAGTCAGCCTGGGAGAATGAATGGCTACCAATGGGGACTATTAGTGGCTAACAATGGATGGTGTGTAATAGCAGACCATGTGATAACAAGGCTTAGTGTCTCGGGGTTGCAGTGAGGACATGAGCGGAGGTGCCTCAAGGCCCAAAATTGTTGAACTTGATACGTTAACTCCGATTTCTGTCCTCAGATGCTGCCAGACCTGCTGAGATTTTCCAGCAATTTCTGGTTTTGTTTCTTATTTCCAGCACCTGCAGTTCTTTCCCCTTTTCCTTAAAGATGATGTGCCATTGATAAGGTGATTATACCTGGTAGTTTATCCAGGTTTATAGAAACAGAATATAAAAGCAGTGGCTTCGTGCCACTACAGTTTGATAAGTCACTAGTTAGGCCTCAGAACATTGAGTGGTTACTGCGCATCATGTAAAGGCCTTGGAAAGGGCATGAGGAGAGTTACCAGGATGCTCCTGGAGTGAGGGGCTCCTGTCCTGAGGAAAGATTTGAAAAGTTAGGACATTCTCCTGGGAACAGAAACTTAGCAGGTGATCTGACAGTGGTTTCAAGATGAGAGAGGTTGTGATAGGAAACATTTTTTTGCCCCAACTGTTGTCTGGCAAGTAGATTAACAACTAACAATTCCAAATGATTGACTGGAGAGCTAGAGGGGTGATGAGAATTGTTTCCTGTCGGTATTGGTAGGATATGGAGTGCTGTCTGAAGAGGTTTTTGTTTTGGTTTAGGCTGTCAAGGGATGCAGGTGTTTCTAGCTTCACCAGCTTCGGTTGCCCATCGTTAATTGTCTTGAGAAGTGGGAGGGAAAGCTGCCTTGTTGAATTGCTGCAGTCTATATGGTATCAATACACCTGCAGTGCTAAGTCGGCGATTCCAGGATCTTAACTCAGGAATGTTGATGTAGTGCCCAGGCAGGGTGTTGTGTGTCTGAGAGGAGAAACTGCAGGCGAATGCTGTTCACGTGTATCTACTGCTCTTGTCTTATAGGTGGTAGAGGTCACTAGTTTAGAAGGGTATTAGCGAAGGGGGCTTGGCGAGTTGCCCCGTGCATCTTGTAGATGGTACGTACTGCTGTGTTGGAGGTGGATGGGGAGGGTCATTCAAATGGACTGCATTATCCTGGATCAGAGATAGTAGGAACTGCAGATGCTGGAGAATCCGAGACAACAAGGTGCAGGGCTGGATGAACACAGCAGGCCAAGCAGCATCATAGGTGCATTATCCTGGACCTTGTTTAGCCTCTGGAGTGTTGTTGGAGCTGGATCCATCCAGGCAAGTATTCCATCACACCCCTGACTTGTGCCTTGTAGATGGTGGACAGGCTCTGGGGAGTCAAGAAGTGAGTTATTTGCAGGATTTCCTCTGACTTGCTGTTGTAGCCACAGCTACAAGGCTGGTCCTGTAAACATTTTTGAAAGGGAAGCTGGTCAGGTACAGGATGAAGAATTTATTGGTTATGGGAGAGAAAGAGCAGGAGTATGTGACTAAGCACAGCTCTTTGAGAGAGCTAGCACTGGTATGATGGGGCCAATGGCCACCTCGGTGCTGTTCATTATAAATGAAACTTCACTGCGATACCATTAAAATAGGCCTGTTGACATTCCCCAGTATTGTTCTCAAGCCGGTTTCTCCTGCCTGTCTGTTGAAAGGTTCATGGCAGAGCGAGGAGTGAGGAGAAACATCCTGATCTTTAGCTTGCTGGAGGGTCAGAGGCTAGTTCACTGTGAAGAAGCAAGGTCAATCAGCTGGGAGTAGTTATTGACAGCGATGTGGTTTTGATTAGTTCAATATGAAGAAGGTCTGACCAGCAGAAGGAGAGAGAATGGATAGAAATTGGTGGGAATATTCAACCAGCAGGTGGAAAGTAAGGTTGGAAAATGATTGGATTAAACTTCTAGATGTGGCGTGGAGCTGCAGACATTTGGGTTATCAGTGATTTGCAGGTTCAGTTGAGAATCTCTCTCAATTGTGTTTTACTGCTGATTGAGCTTGTTGCGTTTCTTCTCTACAGGTTGTATATAATGTCGGCCTCTGCATTTGCCTGTATGACATTACCAAGCTGGAAGATTCCTACATTTTCCCAGGGGATGGAGCATCTCACACCAAAGGTTATACATCTGAAAATAGGGAATCATGTTTCTATTTAATGACTCACAATAAAGCAGTCTCCACTTCCCTCCTGTCACTGCAAATCCTGAATCCAGGCTAGAGACCAGGTGCAAAATGTCACAGAGTACAGGGTACAACAGTCTGTCAACATTTATATTCCACTCGAGTCTTGTCTCATCCTTCCTCATCAATTTCTTTCAGCCTGGTGAGGTCTGTCTTAAATGCACCGATGGTATTCACCTCGACTGCACTGTGTTGATAAACCTGTTCAAACTTCACAAGAAGTTTCACCTGAATTCTCTGCTGGATTTCCAGCTGCCCACCTTGTATCGATCTCTACTTTTGCTCTTCCCCCAAATGGAAATGCCTCTCTCTTTTCAGTCAAAATCTTTTCATAATTTTTATATACCCCCATTAGGTCACCACTCCAGTTGTGCTGTGAGACCCCCTGTCTATCCATCAATTCCTGATACAACCTTGCAGTTCTGGTACCATCCTTGTAAATCTTTCTCATGCACTAATATCCTTGTTATGTGACGATCAGATCTGTGTACAGCACTACAATTATGGTCTAAGTAAAGTTTGATTCAAGTAGAGCATAACTTCCCTACTTTTCAATTTTGTCCTGCTTAAAAATAGACTCGCAGTAGGTTAGCCTTTTTATAGCGTTGCTAACCTTCGCTGTTACTTCTCATGGTTTATATACGTGTTTTCAGATGCCCTTTGCCTTCGTATCACATAGATTTTGTTTTATTTTCTAAGTAGTATATGACCTGCTTCAATGCTAAATGTAATATCTCCTGTTCAGCTAAATTGAAATTGATTTGCCATTCATATGCCCATTCTTCGAGTTTATTAATATCTTCTTGTAATTTGTCTGTGTGCATCTGACTCAGCTTATGTGTATGCACATTTGTGTCCCTCTCCGTGTCTGTGTGTATGTCTCTCTCTCTCTCTGTTTATGGTGTACGTACCTGTCTGCCTCGTTCTCTTTATCTCTCTGTCTCTTCACTACTTTCCCCAAAAAGATTCACTGGAAACTTCCACTGCCAAGCCTCAGCCACTGTCTTTTGCTAGTGGTCATTCAGGGAGAGCTGCAGTGCTGAGTGTCTATCCTGCTGCTTTCCTCCCTTCCATTGATCAGCTGCAGATTCCATGTCGGTGGAACTTGAGATTATGGAGTGCCTTTTCTCATTACCTCCCCTGTCCAGGTCCCTGCGTCTGCTTCACTTAGTTTGTAGCAGACCCCTATCTGACTCAGAGGGTTGTGGATCATGACTCACGCTTGGTTAATGGTCACTTCTTTTGGGATCCACTGTGTTTGTTCACGTGGATGTAAAAGATCCTGTAGTATTTTCACTAAAATGAAGGAATTCTTCCAGTATCCCTGCCAGCCCTCCTTGTTTAAACCACACTGAAAACAGAATAACTGACATCTTACTAATGTGCAGTTTTTTGGCTGTGTTTGTCTGTATGACGATAATGTAGTGCAATAATGATTCATTGGTTGCATGAATTGGATATGACCTGAAGCTCTGGAAGGTGCTGTATAAATGCAGCTTCTTGCTTTAAATGTAATGTTTCCTCTTCTCTGTTTTCCTATTCAGTACATTTCCGTTACGTGGTCTTTCGACCTTTTCTGGATGAGATTATTACTGGCAAAATTAAAGGCTGCAGTCAGGATGGTGTTCATGGTGAGTGACTGATCATTTGAGGTTTCCAATCCCCCCTGCCCCCCTTGTGTCTAGTTCTCTGCCTGGGTTTACCAAGTGTAGGTGCAGCAATGGGCTCTTTGACCAAGGTGAGTTCAGAATCATGCATTGCAGATCATCACAGCTTGCTGTAGAAAGCAGTTCGTACCAGCTCACTCCTATCCCCAGCCCTGAATTTTTTTTAACAATTATCTTAAATCTGTTCCTTCTGGTTATAGACTTTCTTGTCAGTAAAGACAATTACTCTGTATTAAACACCATGTCACTCTGAACAGTCCTTTAAATCTCCTCTTTATCTTTGCTGCTTTAAGGAGGACAGTCTCAACCTCTCTCATCTCTACACAGCTGAGTTCCCTCATCCTCTGCACCCTTCTCCAAGTCCACGTCATACCTTGGCCATCCTTTGTAAATATTCCTTTCATAGTAATCCCCCATTGCATTCGAACATGAGATACTTGGAATTTTTTTTAATCAGTTCACAGGCTGAGGGTTTTTGCCCATTTATTGCCCAGAGGACATTCCTAAAGGACATTAGTCAACGCGTCATATAAGCTTTTATGACAATTGCCAGTAGTTACGTGGGTCTAAGGCTATTCATTGTTCTGCAGCCTAAATGTAATGAGCAGCTTGTCAAATGTACATGTCTGAGAGATAAGGTTGTCCTTCATAATTGTGCAGTGTTAACAGTCTGGCCGTGTGAAAAGTATAATGTTCTTTTCACAGCTAATGACCTTGGAGATGTTTGGAATTTGCCTCCATCCCACAAAGGCAGAGATTTTTGATTTGCCCTTGATGTTTGAATTGAAAGCCAAGAGGGGGCGGGGGGGGGGGGG